TGGCGGCGGGGGCAGAGGTGGGGCAACGCGGCGCGGCGCCCTGTGGAGCCTTCCCCGGGCCTGCTGCCTGCACGGGCACTCTCGGGGGCTGGGGCGGGCCCGGGAGAGAGCAGTGTCCCGCGGCGGATAAAGTGGGATTGGGATAGGGGAGCTTCCTCGCAGCCAGCTCTACCAGCAGACGAGCGGCTTAATCCGGGGCTGGTTAGTCTGAGATCTCGCTTGCACCGAGCAAGTGCAGGACAAGCTGTGAGTGCAGGTGGCTGGGCTACTTCACAGGTCCTTTGTGTGGGAGGATGGGTGCATCCGTCTGCCAGGCCTGAGGCTTGCTGCGAGGCAAAGCCTTCACATCTGAATCAAGCTGGGCATCTCTTTTCAGCCTGTTTATCCCAGGACATCTCAAAAGGCATCTGAATGGGTGTCCTAGGATTGCCTTGTTTAGTCGGTGCTGGAAAAGCAGCCGGGGGTGGAGGATGTAGCCGTGTTGGTCTAAGGACATAGGCAGGCAAGGCTCTTTGGATGAATCTGATATCTTTTATTAAACCAGTTCAAATAGTTAGACCAATTCTTAGCAAGCTTTTGGGTATAAATACCCTTCATCGGGCTGAGGAAGCATCTGCAGTTAGTGTGTGCTGTGCACTGAAGCCCGATGGAAAGCGGGGCGTGTGCACACACCAATCCTGGGATGTTTCTGTTGCAAGACAAACGTGGGCCCAGCTTGTCCTGAGACAAATGCAACATCAGTTCCTAGCCTCCTTGTCTGTTCGCAGACTCACCAAATTAGGCATGAGCTTTTCAGGGAGCCACAACCCATGTCATTCATCAGACCTTTCCTTCCTCTTGCAGGGTGGGGCCTGCTGGTTTTGTCCCTGCAGAGGTGGCCAGGTCAGAAAGCAGGCCCTAGGGAGGGCCGTAAGGGAAGGATCGAGTGGAAAGGAGCAGGGTGGAGTGGTCTAAGGAACTAGAACAAGGCTTTGGAGGGACAGATGTGGTTCAGTTGAGCCCTGAATCCTGGTATGGCGCCCGCCTGTTTCCTTAGGGATGGAGGGGATGCTACTCACCCACCCTCCGCATGCAATGCACACCCATTGCATGCAAGTGTTCCCATGTACCACTTGGATTGAAATTGCCCAACCAACTTGTTTCTTGTATTTAACATAGCAGGTAGGACTTGGACTAGTCCCAGAGACTGAAAAGTGAAAATCATGGACGATAAAAGACGGAGAGCCAGAGTACAGGGCGGCTGGGCAGGTCCTCTGAAGAGCAGAGCAGCCTCCCGTGCAAGTAAGATCTGAGCTCTCTTTATTTTGCTTCTGGCTATGTTGAACTCTTCTCCTGTTTTTTTAGGCTGATTTAATGTGTTCTTCGTCTTATAGTGCCATTCTCTTTGTACCTGTATGAGAAGGGGTGTCACCTGTTGACTGAAGCAGTGACTATAAAACAAAACAGCTGGTTTCTTTTTCTGGTTCTGCAATTAATTCTCCCTGTAGCTATTCCTTCTCTGGATTGTATTTCTTCACATGTTAAAATGAATGCTGAGACCTGTGTCTTAGGCTGAGTCAGTGGATGCAAAGCATTGTGAAGTACTTGGCAAGAAGGCGCTGTGTGTATACAGTGTATGTCACTGATGGTTACCCAGTTTACACATGGGCATCTGAGGTGACTGAGGTAAACGTAATGGGTTTGGATCAAGCTTCATAGTGTTAGCAGTGTTCAGTTTTTGCCTTGGTACATTTGTTATGCAGCAGCCCTGGCCCTTTCATTGAATTATTATTAAAGAATAATTTAGGCAAAAGATTTAGGGCAAGATAGTTGTTCTGTGGAGCAAGTGTATACCAAGTTTGTTGAGTGGTAGAAGAGTGCTGAATTCTTATCCCAAGTCAAGGGCTAACTTAGTGTGGTAATGCATCATGTGATTCTCTTATCTCAGCTGGAATATAGAGCAAAGTTGTGATTTCCCTGAGAACTGGATACTGCAGTTAAGCTGAATTGAGCTGCCTTTAAAAAAAGAATTATGCTCACATAGCTAAAATGCATTAGAGTTAGAGCGGGTAGCAACACCTATAGTTAAGGTAGCCCAATGCTTTGGGTGTTCTGGGTGTTTTATTTTTTGTTTCGTTTTTTCCTTTGCTTATAGCTTTGCCAACCTTTAATCTTTCAGAGTGAAAGTTTGTTTGAACTTCAGGCAGGTTTAAAAAAAATCTTTTCTATAAATATAGTTCAGTCTCTTCTGAGGAAGAACATAGGGAAAATGGATAATTTTACTAATTTTAAACTCTCCTATCAGGTGTTTGTTTGAAGAGCTTGCTCCTCTGCACATTGGGAAAAAATGTAGGAATTTGATGCATGACAGTGCTACAGTCAGAGAAGTGTCCTTTTTGCTGTCCCCGTAAAAAAGTCAAGGAGATTTGCAGAGCTAGAAGCCTGGGGAAGATGTCTATTCACATATGTGAGAGGCTTGCTCCTAAAATCTCTGCTTGTTCCAGTATGCTTTCAGGCTCCACTCATCTTCCTTAATCGAAGGTATAGAGCTCCATAATAGCAAGGATAATACTGCAGCAACAGAAAAGTATCCTTTGGCCCAGGAGAAGGGAATTTGGCAAGCCTTTTACTGACTACTGCTGATAATGTTTCATGCCAACCTTTATTATCAAGACAGTCCTCAGAACCCTGTACTGGGAAGCAGACAAATAGAGTTCCTCAGAT